TAAAGCATTGTGATTGGCTCAGAGCATCCCTTCTGATTATGTGAGCCAAGCTGGCAGATCAGGGGCAGAGCCAGCAGCAGCAGACTGCAATAAAGATAAGATTTTGCTATATTTAGGGGGGAAGAGGGGGCAAATGGTGTTATTAACACTATACGGTCAGGAATACATGTTTGTGTTTCTGACCCTATAGTGTTCCTTTAAAAAATGGCCCTTTATGACAAATCTGTTTTTAATAGTGTTTGGGAATCTATTGAGTTAATCGTGTTAGTAGCATACTTAAGTAAACTAGTGTGGCCAAGAGGGTGTCATCACGGGCAAAAAGGAGAAAGACTTTTCTAAATGAGAGGGATCTAAAGAATTATTAGGTTAGGGATCATAAAGGAACAGCTCGACCACTAGCACAATTGTAAGGGCACAAGCCATTATTATTGTTATTGTTGTTATTATTACTAGCAATTTTTTACAGCCAACCTATTCTGTTGTGCTTTACAATTCTAATATTATAGCAAATAAGAGTTAAACTATTACAAATGTTAACCAGAACAAGAAAATGGAATGAAGCTACATTCTACGTCTAAAAATTGATCGAGTCCTCCTGGGTGAGAACTAAGCTTTTGTCTGTTCTCATTGTGGGTCTTGTACACTTTTTTTGGTTTATTTGCTGGTGATTGAAGATCATGACATTCCTGAAAAGTGTGATTTGATGGTCTGCCAATTCTCAGATACACATTTCTCTAGTTAAAGGAACATTCTAACTTATATAAAGATATTATTTTTAAAGTCTCATTTGTCCCTTAGTAGATTTAGCTTTATAAAAAAAAAATACACTTTGCTTTAACTAGATAAAAGGACACACAAAATTATTGTTTAGGCTCAAGGGATATAGTGCTCTTGATGTAAAATTCCAGAAGATCTAATACTTATATTCTGATGCCTCGTTTGCATATTTATGGGACAATTTACAATTTCACAAAACAGAATTCTAAAAGATTTACAAAAAATGTCTGGGGACTGTGCACTATGTTTTTTATTTATTTTAATCTTATTCTGGAAACTCACTCAAATATCTTAAACTGTAAAGGGTAGAAATGCAAATGTATTTTATTCAGCATTCAATTACAGAAACTAGACTACAAATAGAGTAATAGAAGTGATATAATTACTGACATTATGTGTTATGCAAATCGTAAAGCTAATGTACTTTCTGGTGGCTGCATGGTTTGACCATACATATTCGTAATTTTTTGTTTTGTTTTTTTTATCTTATAATATGTAAAAAATAAAAATACAATAGCTCAATTCAAAACTTTTTTCATGCTGGATTTCAGTTTGTAGTTGGTGTCACCTCCATCCAATACAGTGGCGGTACTACCACACACTGAGTGGGCCCTTTCGATGGCCCATGAACTTAGGGTCAACCAATAGGCATGTGTCATAAGGGGCCTGGTTATGCGCTGCGGCTCATTACCAGTGCAAACGGGTGTCTTTCTTATCGGCAGCCAGCTCTGGGAGGAAGTGAGAGCTGGTCACTTCCTCCCAGGTAACTGAGCTACGTGGAAGATACAGAGAGGAGAACAGAGAGGAGTGGGCATGACCAGAGAGAGCCCACCTTTAACTACCAAAAATCTCAACCAGAAGATAGGACCACACTGGATTGTGATGTTTCAAAGACCAATGCTCAGAAACATCACAAAACACAAAGACAATGAAGTGTTGTACCCTACAACACTTCTACTATTTCTTCTACTTCTGCGCTAGGATACAAAACGTTGAACATTGCCTGTTTTCCTGTAAGTCCCTCTAGTTTACCTAAATAGGGATTAAAGCAATATTATATTTCTATGTCGAGTATATGTAGGCTGTATTTCTATATTCACGTGAAGAGTAAAGCAATAAACTATCTGTATTGTTTACTATAGGAGTAGTACCAGTGTTACGCCCCTTGGTTGCAGACTCCAGCTACCTATAGAGTAACAACAATAAGCCTTAGAGGTTCCAGTCCATTATTGACACTGAATTTTTTCTATTGTTATCCTCTCAAGGAGTTATTTTAGATCTAGTATATGGTGACTCTAAATAATTTTATACAAATACAGTTCTTTAGTGAAATACAAGATTATATGTTTTTTGGAGGGGGTGGGGGGTGCATAGTATGATTCAGAATTATCTTTTAATTGCATTTCTTGAAGAAAAGGATCTCTTGGATATATTTAGTTCTATAATGAATTTGGAAATATTTGTATTAGTTCTCAAACACAAATAATGTGTTTTTATTAATATTTTTTTTAGTCCAGATTTTTATTTAATCTTTCGTCTTACATGCTAGTAGAAATTCTCACAGCAATGTGTTATCTCTGTCTGTGAAATCCAGTGTTCCCTCAAATAAGAAATCTTATCTTATATACTATTATTCATCCCTTCCATCTATTTAGTTCCATTGCTCTTATGTTGGTTTATAAATATGGTTTATAAATATTGACATTATTGTCACTTCTCTGGAATTTACACAATTAAATAAAACAATGAAAATCGCCTAATCAGTAAGCTGAGTACAGAATTAGAACACGGTGAACAGTGGTTTGAGTCCCACCAGAGGTAGGCTTTCTGACATTAACCCCCTAAAGGAGCACCCACTGGGCATTTCCTGCCAGGCTTAGCAGGCAACCTTTTGTAAAACCTCTTGACCAAGAATGGGCATGGACATCCTGTGCAGGAGTCCAAGATCTTACCTCTAGAGCAGGAGTTAGCACAGAGGAAATCAATTTATTGCAAACCAAGGGATTGAGAAGCAAGATATGAGAGATATTAGGAATGAGGAAGTTCCTAGGCAGGGCTCAGGTATAGACACTGGGTTGATGTTCCTGATGGTGCAGTACAGGCCAATACATTTGGGAACCAGTTTGGGGTTGTATCCAACCGAGAACCAAGGTGCCACACTGAGCCCATGCTCAGCATGTCTCTTTTGGAGCAGTACCGAACGGCCCAGGATGCCTTTAACGCACGCCCAAAGAGACCAGAGTTGAGTCAGGTAGTCTTTAAAGCCAGGGATTCCAGACACAGATCCTTCTGCAGGAAGAACTGTAGGGTAACACCAGTAATTCACCAAGAGAGGATTGTGGCAGTAGACATCATGATTAGCATTATTCCTGGAAAACTCGTCCCAATGCAGCAAGCTGGAACAGTTGTCCTGGTTTTCTAATACAAAACAACGGAGGTAATGCTCTAGACAGTGGTTAGACCTCTCGGTAGCACCAGTGTTCTGGGGATAAGAGGCAGAGGAAAACAAGAGCCTGATGCCCAGAGATGTTCAGGAAGGTTTTTGGCCCACTAGGGCATACAGCCATTGCAACCAAGTCTTTGCATTCTTGTGAGTTTTCTCTATGATGACTTCTAGCTGCACAGGACAGATTTTACAATTATGGAGACATCAGTGAATGATAAAGAGCTATGGATTTTTACATTTAATTTAAATTTTTATGCCTCACAACATGCTTTTTAGTATGACGATAAATAAACAATATTAAACATATTGGGATGTGTGAATTCCCCTTTAAAAATAACTTTAAACCACTTGGTAAAATTAAATTTTTATTGTATTTATTAAAAAATAATTCTAAGAGCTCCCAGAAAGATAAAATGCACGTGAAATCCAGAAAATTTCCTAAAAAAGATAATAATACCACCATAGAAACAAATTCACATGGTTAGTACTTTGCTCATCTAATGCATTTCATTCATACAGAACTTGGCCCTGATATATTTTCCTGTTATATTACATCCAAACATTTTCTAATTTCTGTTTTATCATTGAAGAAGCTTAAAGGGACTCTAAAGGCACCAAATCAATTATTAATCAAATCAATAATTATCATAATTTTTTATAAAGCACCAACGAATTCCATAACGCTGTACAATAGGTGTACTTACAGGCATGTATTTGCAACAAGGCGAGTTAGATGCACAGGAACAAAGGGTGTTGAGGACCCTGCTGAAATGAGCTTACAGTCTAAAGGAAGTGGGGTAAAGTGGCAAAAGTGATAAGGGAAGGATGTATTTCATGTACGGGAAAAAGTAGGTTGCTAGAACAGTGAAGGGTGGCAGGAGAGGAAACAGGGTGGGTAACCAAAATGCAGGGAGGGAAAGCCATTAACAGTTTAATTGATATGCTTTCTTAAAAGGTGAGTTTTTAATGAAATTTTGAAGGAACTGAGACTGGGTGGGAGTCTTATGGAGCAGGGGAGGGTTTGCAGCTCTAGAGAAGATGCAGTTTTGTGTATAGATCATGTCTCTGCGGTCTTACTCCTGAATTCTCTGCCATTTAGGAATTAGATAACTTTGTTTAAACAGCCCTAGCCACACCAAACTGCATGTGACTTGCACAGCCTTCCTAAACACTTCCTGTAAAGAAAGGCCTAATGTTTGCACTTCCTTTATTGCAAATTCTGTTTAATTAAGAATTACTTATCTCATGCTCTCTTAATAGCCGTTTAGACCCTGCAGAAGCTTCCTGTGTGGGATTAAAAGTATAATTACAGAGCAGGTAGATAAAAACTATAAAGCAAGTTATTTTATTTTCATGTAGACTGTGTCAGTCACAGCCAGAGGAGGCGTGGCTAGGGCGGCATCAACAGAAACAAAAGGGATTTAACTTCTAAATGGCAGAGAATTGAGCAGTGAGACTGCAGGGGCATGATCTATACACCAAAACTGCTTCATTAAGCTAAAGTTGGTTTGATGCCTATATAGAGTTTTTTTTAAGGTAGAAGACCTGGCTCCATAGAGCATGTCATTTAGTGTTTGTCAATAAAGTACAAAAAAAACTTGAACATAGCATGACAGAGGAAAACATACCAGTATCACCTCCAAAATGTGTCCCAATTTAAATTATTGAACTAATTTACCTAATTACAATTATAGATTGTAGTTAAATTTGTAATCCAGTGTTCAGTGCTATATCTTTTTTATATTATCTATTTCTTTTTTTTTTAGCTGGTGGAGAGGCATATTTTTCAAAGAATTCCAAAAGTTACATCTCCACTTAGGGTGCGTGGTGGCCTTACTGGACTTTACTCATACTTATCGAAAGCTGTCCCTCGCTGCCATGGGGAGAAGCTTCAGCTCCTGGTACCTCATCTACCAGGAGTCATGCCATGGCTGTACACTTGTGCATACATCAGAGTGCAACAATAAGGTCTATGCAGGATCCCACAAAACCGCAAGAGCCTCCATAGATCATGTCTCGCTATGAACAAGATGATGCCTGATTCCTTTTGCTGTCGTTTGCAATGGCTGTTGGGATTTTGGGGAAAAAAATCAAACGCAATCAAAAAAAATTCTAAAAAGAAAGTAGACCCTGCTTTGTCTTAAGATATCTCTGGATTGTGTTGGAATTTCAACAAAATTCCAAAAAAAGTCAGTATGTACATTTCATAACGATTGTCTTTTTTATTTTGTAAATTACTCAGAACTGACAGAGTCGCTGTAAGGTATTTTGTCCAGTGTATATACAATTGTTATGGTGCCATAGTATTACTGTGCTGACAAATCCACGTGAAGTTACATCAGTACAGGAAATACTTGCTTTGATAGTAATTTTAATGAAATATAACAAAGCAGTTGCTTAAATCACCGAATACCACACAGCTGAGTAGTATATTACAGAATCACTGAAAATTCAATTCTAATACACACAAGTACTTAAATAAACAAGATAAGTCCGACTGAAAAATGTAATCCAAGACAGAATGTATTTATTTGGATAAACCACAGAACAATCTATAGGATAATAATTTACTGGATATGATGTGAGATATGTGACTCATTAAGGTAAGGTCACACTCTACAAGAACAGGGAAGAAGACAGGGCTCCTGAAAGATGATACAGAGGAAATTGCAAACTGAACATGTCACATCCCAACCTGTCTATGCGGTGAGGAAAGAATAATTTTCTCAATGATTAATCAGTGGCAGGCTGAAGGCGTAAAACTCAACAGCTAATTTACACAATGCTTCCATAGTTCCATGTTAAAACAACCGCACAGCAGCTAATGATGAGTTACGCTAATATTCTGAATAGTACGGAAAATGTTTTGAGTAAATAGTTTTTTAATTTGCAGGGTACAGATATGGATACATTGTTGTTCACATGTAATCTCATACTTTGAATTGATGATTGCGTATTCTTCTACGTTATTCAGTATTTTTTAAATTAATAAAGAAAAAGAAAAAACGAAATCGGCATATTTCTCATAAATTCGTTCCTAAACACTTTTTCTATATTTTAAAGACACATAGCTGCACCCTATTATTTTTTTAGAAACAGCAACAATTCTGAGCTTCTACAGAAGACGGGCTATGGTGTAGAAAACAAGAACAGAAAAAAATGAGCCTCAGAGGATTATTATTCTTCCCTAAAAGAGACAATTATGCAGTACTGGCCCACCATATTTTCTTGATTTTTTTTATAGTCACTATTTTTATATAGTAATCTAGCTTATACTGTTGATCCAAAATGTGAAATTAGTTTCGTTCCGAATGTAAATTCGTAAAGGAGTCTATGACTTGCTTAAAATTTCTGAACCCCTGAACTGATCTGGGAGATTTTGAATATGGTTAAGGCTATCAGGGGATGTAACATTTGTGGGGATATTATGTGTTTTGGGGTACTTTTGGGACTTTTTAGAAATGTGTGTTTTTTGTGTTTGGAGATAATTGAGTTTAGTATAGTGTTTGACTCAATTATCAGTGTCATGCATTTAATCACTGTTCTTGTTGATTTGTCAGTTTGTGTCCCTGTCCCCAACAGGGTCCACGTGGGTGTCACCCTTGCATGGGGACTTGCATAAAAGGCCAGTGTGGCTACCATTAAACGAGTCATACTTTTACCCTCAACACTGAGGCTTGTCTCTTGTAGAAGGGAACTGCTATACCAGCTATAATCCCTGCTCCTAGGATTGCTCTTTGGATTACTATACTGGCTCTCAGTGGCGCAGGGGTCGCAGCTGCGACTGGGCCCGTCACTCCAGGGGGCCCGGCCGCCCTGCGGACCCCCGCGGCCGGGTACCAACTGCCATGTTTTGCGGCCCCGGCCCGGCGGCAAACCACTGGGGCCGCATGTTAAGGGGTCCACCATACTTTCAGGGCCACCCAATGGAGACGGATTGTCAGGGGGCCCGGAGAGTGCTGGACGCTTTAACAGTGCGACTGGGTCCCCTGTGAAGACATCACTGCTGGGAGGAAGTGACTCCCCGGTCACTCCTCCCAGCAGACAGAGAGCCATGCGGGAGGAAGCAGGAAGGAGGGGGGAGTCAGAGTGGGAACTCTGACTCCCATCAGGCTGAGCCACCACTGGACCCCAGGGAAAGTCACCAAAGGTAGGAAACATTTTGTGTGTGTGTGTGTGTGTCTGTATGTATGTGTGTCTCTGTATGTGTGTGTGTGTGTGTGTGTCTCTGTACGTGTGTGTGTGTATCTCTGTATGTGTGTATGTATGTGTGTGTGTGTGTCTCTGTATGTATGTGTGTGTCTGTGTCTCTGTATGTGTTAATGTGTGCATGTGTGGGTGTATCTCTGTATCTGTGTATGTATGTGTGTGTCCGTGTCTCTGTATGTGTGTCTCTGTATGTGTGTGTGCGTGTGTCTCTGTATGTGTGTATGTATGTGTGTGTCTGTGTCTCTGTATATGTGTGTGTGTGTCTCTGTATGTGTGTATGTGTGTATGTGTGCGTGTGTCTCTGTTTTGTGTGTGTCTGATTAGTCTCTGTATGTGTGTGTGTCTGTATGTGTGTATGTGTGTATGTATGTATGTATGTGTGTGTGTGTCTGTATGTGGGTATGTATGTGTGTGTCTCTGTATGTATGTGTGTCTCTGTATGTCTGTCTGTCTTTGTGTCTGTGTCTCTGTATGTGTGTCTTTGTATGTGTATGTGTCTGTGTCTCTGTATGTATGTATGTGTGTGTCTCTGTATGTATGTGTCTGCATGTGTGTGTATGTATGTATGTACGTACAATATGTAACTATGTAACTATGTGTCGGGGGGCCCATGGTCAGGGGGGAGAAGGTCAAGGTAGAGGGGGGGTCAGGGTAGAGGGGGGGAAATGGGAGGGGGGGCCCTCGGATCAGTTATGCACTGGGGCCCCATGGATTAAGAGCTACACAGCCAGACCTGCTATACTTTCTTGGAGGATAGGTTCACCCACTGGAAGCTGGATCCTGGTCTTAGGTCCAGGCTGCGGCAGTTTGTGGAGTCTACAGTGCTTATGGTGTCTGGTGGAGTGCTTGGAGTCCTCAGTGAGCACTATGAGCATCGATTGACGGAGGCACCCAGCCAGGGTGCCAGGCTGTCCATCACACAAAGAAAAACATAATATCAATCAAATCTAAGAATGAGACAATAATGGCTCTAGAAAAGATAGGAACTGCCTTCAGAGATTTTTACCACCAATTATACAATCTTTAAAATAAACCCTCACAAGCTCAAATAAAAGACTATTTGGATAAAATAAAACTACCACACTTGACTGAAGAACAACTTAAGATATTAAACAACAAGATACCTGAGGAAGAGGTAGCCCAGGCTATAGATAGGTTGCAGAAGGGGAAGGCACCTGGTCTGGATGGATTTAACAACCTGTTTTACAAAATATTGAAAAATGATATAAAAGGACCTATGACTAAAACATTTAATGTGATAGCTGAAGGGAGAGATGTTCCTAAAGAATTGTTACAAGCAAATATTATAATAACAATATCAAAAGAAGGAAAAGACCCAGAACTGATTAGTAACTATAGACCCATCTCTCTCTTAAATACAGACATTAAAATATATTCTGCGGTTTTGGCGGAGTGGTTAAAGCAGGTTGCGCCTATGTTGATCTATCCGGACCAGGTAGGCTTTGTTCCTGGAAGATCATCCATAAATAATGTTAGAAGATAGATGTCTTGGACATGGTCAGATTGAAAGGTGTTCCCCACCTGACCCTGTCACTTGATGCCGAAAATGCATTTGACAGGGTGAAGGGGATATTCCTCAGAGAGGTCCTTAACACATTTGTTTTTTTAAGACAGGATATTAGACGCCATTATGGCCCTGTATATGGGCCCAACGGCCAGGATACTTGGGGTTAGCTTTAGCTCTGACTGGTTCAATATGACTAATGCAACCAGGCAGGGCTGTCCGCTCTCCCCGTTTTTGTACATCTTATCAATGGAACCAATGGCTTCTCAGATTAGAGAAAATAACAAAATAAAAGGATTTTGCAAAACATCTGGGGATTTAAAATTGAATCTTTATGCCAACGATGTGATAGTGACCCTAGAAGATCCCCAAAACTCCCTAGAAGAATTAGTTAGGTCTTTGAACCAACTTTCAGAGATATCTGGTTATAAACTTAATTTAGCTAAAACTACAGCTAGAATAAGTAATGTTTCATTAGAAACTAGAAGATCTCTGACATCTAATTATAAATTTGATTGGGCATCAAGTATTAAATATTTGGGTATAACGATATGTTCAGACCAAGATAAAATAGTGGAAGCAAACTTTTTGCTTTTACTTAAACAAACAACTAAACAACTACAAGATTGGGGAAAGATGGAATTTTCATTTTGGTATATAATAAACATTTTAAGATCATATGTGTTATCCAAATGGTTATACCTATTCCGAATGGTACCCCTCTCTGTCCCAAGTAGCTGGCTTTCTCTGATACAAACGTCATTTAGGAATTTTGTCTGGCATAGTAAAAAACACAGGTTAAAGATAGACTGTCTCAAACTAAAACCTTCACATGAAGGTTTGTCAATGCCAGACATACAGGAATATCACAATGCAAATATGTTGATTCATGCAATTATTATACAAAAAAGTAATCAAAAGAAGAAAGTTGGTATAGGGTGGAGAAGGATTTAACAAAACAGAAAGATCTAGGGTTTAAATTTTGGACAACGGAAGACTCTAACAAACCAACAGCTACAAATAGCCTAATTTTGGACCATATTTTAATTTACTGGCAAAAATTCAGGACAAGCATCTATCTGAGAAATAAAATATTAACAAACACATCCCTGGAGAACCTAGCAGTTAACATAAAAGATATAAGCCTTGGAAAATGGTACAGGAGTGGTTTAGTGACCGTTAATGATCTGCTTGATGGTAAGCGTATAAAAACATTGATAGAAATTAGTGAAAATGCACAGGAGCTGAAAGGAGAGATTTTCGCGTATCTAAGAATAAAAGAATATATTATAAAACATCTATGTTTCAAACCTAAAGAAATAATAATAAAAAAAAGTATTTCAAAAAAAGACAGAGGTTAAGGGTATGCTAGCCTTCTGTATAGAACTATTGAGAACGGGGAAGAGATGGCGTACAACCAGGGTTGTCGAGAAATGGGAGAGCGATATACAGGTTAAAATTGACCAAAAAGATTTAATCGGAGCCTTCCAAAAATTATGTAAATTGGTAAGATTCTTGAATTTAACAGAGATGCAATTTAAGCTTAACAATTGTATTTACTTTGTATCCTGTCGTCTTAATAGGATGTGCTCTGATCATACAGATAGGTGTTGGAGATGTGAGTTACAAAAAGGGGATCATCTGGTGGAATTGTGAACCGATTTGGAAGTTTTGGGAACAGATGGCACAAAAAAATTACAATATCAGTAAGATTAGACTACCATTGAAACCTGAAATATATTTACTACATTTAAAATTCCCAAAAATGTCTAGAGTTGAATACAATTTTGTAGTCCATATTTTGCTGTCAGTGAAGATCATAATAGTCAGAAAATGGAAATCCTCAACACTCCCAACCTGGAATGAGGTAAAAAACCAACTCCTTTTCCAGCTTAAAATGGAAAAAGGAATAGCCGTGTACCAAAATGTTACTCTGAAAAAAAATCATAACTGGGATACGTGGATTAACCTAATCCCTGAATGAGCAAAAATAAATGAATAATCTGATGATTGAGTTTCACCGGACACTTATATGTTTTTGTATGTTTGGAATATACAATGTACAACGATATGGGATATTGTAATGATACAATGTGTGGGATTTATTTAACCCCTTAAGGACACATGACATGTGTGACATGTCATGATTCCCTTTTATTCCAGAAGTTTGGTCCTTAAGGGGTTAAAAGGTAGAGGCCGCCAAATGTCTATAATATGATTTTCTTTGTTTTACTTTTGTTTT